CAGCAATGGAATGCATGGTAGACGAACCAATGCCACCTGTCGAAACAGGACGCCGAACCCAGTTGCCCGAAGCAGCGGTGGAATCTTGAGCGGTATTTTGAAGACTGACTGTCGTTCAAACTGTGGCACGACACAGAGGCACTTGGAATTTGGGGGACGAAGGTGTGCCCAAGATGCCTCCTGGTTGGCGAGACTACATGCCCGCGATCGGGATTCATTGACAACCATTTTGTACGAAATGTTCCGAACAAAACATAGCGCGTTGTGGAAGCATATCTACAAATAGTCAACGGCGAGAGCCATCGCTGTCACAAAAGTAACCGGAACGAGGCTGTCCTCGGGGCGAAGTTGGACGGAATGCTTCCGGTCACAGTGAAGTTTATCACTACCATCGGCGGCAGACAGGTCGTGGGCAAATGTAGTGGCACCGCAGCTGTCATGATAAGCCAACAAAAGCTCACCAATAATACTCAGGCCGTTTCGCACGCAAAGTGCGGTAAGAGCGGTCGCAAAACTGCGTCCAACTATCGCTGCTAAGGAGCACGTCATGGTGCATGGCACCATCTGGAACAATATGTGCCAAAACAACGAGAGAGCAAGTAGGAAGGATCTTACGGAAAAAATTGAAACTAAAACGGACAAGAGTCGAAGTTTGAAGCGACGCTGATTTGCCGAAACCACCCCAACAGCAGGGTTGACTGAACAAAAAAGTTGGCTGTCATGAACAAGACGAACGGCTATCGCACGCTGCTCCACGCCCTCGTCGCAGACAACGACGAAGCAGCCGACGCCGCTTTCATGGGTTCCCACGTGGAAGCACAACTAGAAGACTGCGGGGAACCGGTGTCAAACGTGTAACACATCCAAAGTGAAAAGAGGCCGAACAGCTGAAAGTGAGGATTTTTTTGGTGAAAGCACCGTCATCTATGGTAGTAACACTACAACCAAGTCCGGACCTTGCTCCAGGAGCGAAGAGGAGAGAGAGGATCGAGTGCGCACCCAGAAGGCAGTCGGTGTCATGATCTGATGGAGCGTTGGGAGCGTATTGCGAAAATGACATGAATCATGCAGTCGATGGAGGGCGCGAAGCCGTCCGAAGACCCTGGTGCGTGGATGGAAGGGTTAGCTTTCTACACCGCGTTGTGGAGAGATAACGTCGGAACGTGGTTGGCAGAAGGCAGCAAACGAGAGCTGCACTCAGCAGGCGGGGCATCTTGTCATGAAAGACTGCGTACTCGTTGGAGGGCGTTGCTTACGTTGAGGCCGCGACATCGAGATAGATGTAGATCGAACGTCGAGATCATCGGCCGGAAGACCAACTCTCCAAATACGATCGAAGGGATTGGATCGGGAAGGATTTCGTCACCAGATCCGAGAACATGATTTCGTCACTCGGAGTTTTGACTGCATTTTGCGTATGAGCCATTGAGCACAATGTTTTTGTGCCCTCGTTCCTGAACAGGTTGGTCGAAACCACGGACGTCGAGGCCAAACTTTTCGTGTAAGGCAGGGTCGGATACTCGCATGATGTTCTACAAAGCTCTGTGGTGTTCGAAAAGACGAGCTTTTCCGCAGCAAGAAACTGCTCAGCACACAGGCAAACATCTCCATCGACCACAAAAGTCGACGGTGTCCATTGGCAACAAGGAGAAGGGGGTTTCCAAAATATTGCCATGTCTGGGAATACAATGCTCTGTAGACGGGTCGAAAACAGCCGGAACTACAGGGGCCGGAGCGCCCTTAGTGTTGTCGGCCGAAGCTGGGGTGCAGCCGAAGCTAGGGTGCAGCCGAAGCTAGGGTGGGCAAAACGCCCGTGTTTTTATTGACGGTATGAATACGCGCGGGAATCCCAGTGATGGCGGAGAACGGCGAAGAATCGACCGGGGTCGGATTGTCCGCAATACTTGGGCCAGCAACGTGGTGCTGGGAGCGTCCCAATTCTAGACCTGAAATGACGCCTCATTAGGGGTCCTACAACAGGCGGCTTTCGCTGGGAACGGCTGCCACCGCAGAGTCTGTTAATGACCTGGACTGGGCGTAGTACTCCTGGCCATTCCCCCGTGACAAGGTACGCGAGATCACCGGCTGTTCGGAAGTCACTCCGGATTCGTCCTCCCGGACCGGTGGTATCAACACTGTCGACGCCGGTCGTGGTTGCCCAGTATCAGGCACCTTGATGTGAGCGTACGCCGGAAGAGATGGGGCTTGAAAAGAGGACCCATGGTCGAAATGTCGCGTGACGGAATCTGATTGTGTTAAGGTTGTCGAAACCAGCGGGACACAGAAATTCAAAGCCAGGCGAATTCGACAACAGTACTTGCCGGTCGGAGTCGGAACCAGTCAAGTTAGCTGCCGGTGCCACGGTCAAGGGCGGGCCCTCAACGGAAGCGAGCGCAGACAAACTGAGCGCGTCCGAGGATTCACCCGAGGTAACCAATTCAGCCGATTCCTCATCAATCGTCCAAAGCTTATGGCTACGGCTGGCTCATCAGCAGACGACGGGGGAAGCGAACGAGCGGTACCCGACAAGCGAGCGGCACTCGAAGGCCCCGAGGGTCCTACGGTTCGTTCCCGCACCTCAAGACAGCACTCTCGCCAGAGTGGTTAGGTTCCGACGGAGCATCAGCCCGAAAAGGCGAAGGTGTTGAGGTCGTAGATGAAAAGTGTTGTTGATGACAAGGTTGGGGTGAAAGCATATGTCTGGATCCCGACCTGATCGACAGTTGGAGACACAACGTGTAACGGAGTATCGTTGTTGCTTATAGGACTGGAGTGTAGGGACATGTGCATCATCTTAATTCCTCCCATGGGTACCCATGAGGGGGGGCGTGGGAACCCATGAGGACCCATGGGGACCCATTGGTGCCCATGGTGCGTCCCATGGGTACCAATGGTGGTACCCATGGTGCGTCTCATGGGTGCCCATGGGTATCACCGTGGGCACGCATGGGTACCAACGCCGAGGATCCAATCGGGCGCACCGTGGGGTTCCATGGGATTGACGGTGGGGACCCATGGGTACCCATGGGACGCACCATGGGGACGTATTTTGGGCCTTCGATGGTGCGTCGCATGGGACGAGTACCTTCGTGTGTCCGCACTGATCCAGCACTCGACGCGGTCGATTCCCGTGGTCACAGGATAACTTACCCGAAAAAGGTACACTCGAAAAACTGGCCCCGAGGGGTCCGCAAGTCAAAAGAAATCAACGACAGATATTCTGGAGTCCTCTACTCCCTCTGCGCGCTATGCGAGGTAACAACTGAGACTAGGAGTCAGCATCACGGGCCGGAGAGGAAGAGGTACACCAGCTTGGTTCAATCATGGTGCGTCACAACGCAAGCAGAGACAAGGCCATCTGGCACAGAAAAAGTGATAGAAAAAGAAAGAAAAGGAGAAAACAGAGAAAAAGAGAAAAAAATAAAAGGAAACAGAAATATGGAAAGAGAAGCAAAATGGAAGGGAGCGAGGACAAAAAGGGACCAGGCCGAAAATGACAACAAATAACAGACAGAAAAAGGCACACGGTGGAGAGGCCACTAACGAACAAGCAAACACGCAAACATGGCCACCAACCAGCGATACATTGTAATGGTACTAGAGAGGGGTTGGTGCAATGGTGCAGCGTTGGGGGGGGGATGTACTCATGGTCGTGCATGCCGTAGTCGTTAGACCTTTGACCTCGCATCCCTACAAAGCCGGGACGGAGCACGCCGGGTTCTCACCGGACCAGGCTCTCACATCACCAAGCGCGAAGCGCCGTGAAATATTCGGCGAGTCGCATGGAGGGTGCGCTGCATCCTGCTGGTGATCGGTTCTTGTGCTTACTTCCTTGCGTACGGATGACAGCTGCGTATGACTTAATTATTTTTCAGGTGCTTTCACTTCCAGAGACAGTTGTAAGCACTGTGTAACTGCCTCGAGAGTGCTTGACCATTTTAATACAACGTGGTTCAATCATCCCCCTTGCGCGGAGTGAGGGTTCTCGACCCCGCACAACATGATCTACTCGACCACCATGGTGCAGCGTTGGGGGGGGGGAATCGGCGAAAGAACTTCAATCCGGCACGTATGGCGCCACTCGGTCCGTCTCTTCTCGTTTGCTTTCTTCCCTCGCCGTCTCGTCCGTCTCCTGCCCCCCTCCCGCCCCATTGGTTGGTGGCTTGTGGTTTCGTTTGAGCGCCCGTTGTCGGCTGGCCTCTTCTTCCTTCTCGTGCCAGGAGGTCATGAACCTCTCCGCTCCCTGCAGCACCGCCGCATGCCAGGGTACTCCCCCCTTCACCTTTCCTTTCGGCTTCCGTCCACTGAAACTTCGGGGCCGTGTCTTTCGGTACCGGGATTCCGAGACAACATGGATCGGTTTTCGTAGATCCGTGGTCGACCCCGAATGCCTTCAGGTCGTCAAGCACACACTTCGACCAGTTCTGCTCCTGTCCCCCCCTACGTCGTTTCTCCCCCCCCGCCAGTTCACCGAGCATCAGTCGTTTCGGAAGTCGCCCGTCCGGCTGCCTTGCCAATGCTCCCGCGAACAGTAGGCGTCGTTGTCGGATCGTGGCTTCAACGCTCTGGCATTCGACCCTCTTCAGCGTCTGGGCGTAAGAGCGCTGCCGGTAGATTTCTTTCTTGCGCTTGCACCCAATGACTCGAAGGAGCAGTCGGTGGTGTATCGACCGCAGCGTCTGATAGTGGCCGCTGAGTGGTGACCATGTCATGCAACCGTACAGCAGTGCCTCCATCGCCTCCGCCTGGAGCAGGCGGACCTTGAGTCGGGATGGCGCTTGCAGTGTGTCGAAGAGCTCCCGGCCATATCGCCTGAGGCACGCCCACGCTCCTCTGCTCCTGTAGTTGATCTCCCGGGTGAGGTCGCCATGTTCGTTGACGAGCCCACCGAGGTACCGGAACTCGGTCGTCTGCGCGTACTTCTGTCCCGCGGCTTTGATGGTCAGCGGTGGAGGCGGGGCGGGCTGTGATGTTGTAGTCGGCTTGTCCTTNCCTCCGTCTTCCCCTCCTCCAAGCACACCAGGCTCCGCAGAACAACATCATCCTCGCTGAATCGGATGACAATGACCTCGAGGACCTCGGCGAAGAAGATGTTGAACAGCAGTGGGGATTGCACACATCCTTGCCGCACGCCCTGTGTCACGAAGAACCAGTCCGATAGTTCTCCGTCGTCCATTCGCACCCGGGCCCGCATTCCATCGTGGAATTGGCGGATGACTTTGATCAGCTTCGCGGGGATCCCTGCCCTGGGCCAGCACGTTCCAAAGCATCTCTCGGTCGACCGAACCATACGCCTTCTTCAAGTCGACGAGGCACATGTAAAGCGGTATTTACTTTCTCCGCCCCAGCTCCTGGACGCGGCGCATGACGAAAAACATCTCGACGGTGGATCGCTCGGGTCGAAATCCGCACTGTTCCTCTAGGAGGATGTTGTTGGCTTCGCAGAAGGCGCTTTGACGGTTGGTGATGATCTTGATGGGGACCTTGCCTACGTGAGATTGTAGTAGCGAAATCCCCCTGTAGTTGTTACAGTTGGACCGGTCACCCTTCTTGTACAGCACCTTGATGGTTGCATCCTTCCACTCTAGCGGGATATCTCCTCCGTTCCACACTTTGACGAGGATGGCAAGGAGGTGTCACAGGACGAAGGGATCGTCGTCATCGATCTTGAGCAACTCGGCAGGGAGGGAGTCATGGCCGGGTGCTTTCCAGTTCTTGAGGCCTTTCGTTGCCCGTGCCACCTCCTCGAGGTCTGGCACCTCTTCCAACCGTTGAGTGTCACGTGTCGCTGGCCGCTGCGTCACTAGTTCGATGATGTCTGAATTCAGGGTGGGGGATTTGGTGTTGAGTAGGGTGCTGAAGGATCTCGCCCACCGCTGGAGGATGTCGTCCCTGTTCCGGAGCAACACGCCGTTCTCATCCGCGACGAATTGCTGTCCCCTGTTTCCCGATGAGGCCCACTGATCTCTTGAGGTGCTGGTACAGTCCTCGCATGTCGCGATCGTTGTAAATAGCTTCGACGTCAGTCACATATCCGTCCAGGTGGGCATAAATGCCCGTTTCGACGGCTGTAGCCACTCCCTCACACGCTGCTTTGAGAACCCTCCACGTCGCTGAGTTCCAGTTGCCCCTCATCGCCCGGCGCGCTTCCCGCCGTTTGGTATGGGCCTGCTCCAGCGCTGCTCTCGTCTCTGGGGTCTCATGTTCATATGTGTCCTTTCGAAGAGGAAGACGTTTTATCTCTTGTATTTGACACGCAAGGGGAGTAGGGAGAAGTGAAGCCCTCTTTGGAGTTCGAGGGGTCCCCGCACATGCAACCATTTCGAAGTGTACATATGCTCCATCTGGGTGCCCTCTGTTGTTGCCANATTAGACACGCAAGAGGAGTAAGGAGAGGTGAAGCCCTCTTTGGAGTTCGAGGGGTCCCCGCACATGCAACCATTTCAAGGTGTACATAAGCCCCATCTGCGTGCCCTCTGTTGTTGCCGGTAGATCTAACCAGTCCGTATCCAAACACACGAACACCCTCCCCGGTTTGCACGCGAATGGCAAACCTAACGTGGGGCATGGATACCCCTGATCTACCAAGGGGACTCAAAACAACAGCAGGCTCGAGGGAAAACCCGGCCAACCGGATCAAAAACCCTCGTCTAACACCCAAAATATAGAAACCTTCGCTATCTGTCACGGAGGATTCCAACGGCCGCACTTCCAAGACAAGACCAAGGCAGGACAGATTGAACCGGTCACGCTGATTACACACCCGAAGCAA